GACTATCTTCCCCAAATTTTGGGGATTTCAATAATCTGCCCGCCGCAGTGTCTATACCGAGACACTGCATAGGAGTTCGATGCTTTATAAATGGAAATGTTTGCCTAAAATTGCAAAATAACTTGATATGCAGAATATGACATGACTCTACTATTCCTAACGCCTAGAAATGCATAAGATACTCTGTTTGTCCAATTGTATTGTTTATTTTATTTTTGAAAGTACCTTATTAACATCTAACGTCATCCAATATAAACCATTAATAAGAAACAGACAAATAAAAACAAATAACACAATCATTACTAATAAGCCAAATGGGTTGCTCATGAACACCCAATCGAAGGTATAGTAGACTGGACATATCTTTGTATCGTGTTCATCGCATAACCGTTACCCCTGCCATTTTGAATGTTGACCAGACATAGTGCTGTACAATTAGTGTATTTTTAGGAAGTGGATTCATAATACTATAACTATGCTTAACCCATACTTTTAACTCTCAATACTAATACCAGATCGATGTAGTCTTATATGACATGTTGAATGTCAGATGATTTTGGATGGTAGCTGCTCTTAAAATTTTAGAAAAACAATTAATTCACAAAAATACAGTTGAATAACATACTAGAAAACGTATCCACATATGACACGATGACACGCAGTTTAAATAACAGTTAACTGTGTTTTTTGTTACATATCAATGTCAAAATAAGTAACATTTTCGAAGTGAAACTGACATGCTCCCCGTACGTTGATAGATTTACTGAAATGTATCGTGTATTGCATTCGAGTTTGCTTCACTGCGCCCACTATTATCTATCTTTGGCTATAGTGTTTCTTTGCAAACAATATTCTACAAACTGCTTGATGAATCAATACTATGTCTGGTAGAACACTAACAATAAATGTAAAGTGTATTTTACGTTCAGAAATATGGAATTAAACCCACGTCCTCCATTTGCAACTTAGCTGTACCCTGTTTCCCTTTTAAATGTGGTCACGTGGTAGGGTAGTGTGAATATCTTCTCTACTAAATGAAATATCACTTAAGACATTATTACACCTCTGAGGAAATGGAATGTTAGAACTGTCAAAATTTTCATTTGAATGATTTTTTTAAACAAAGAAGTTGAGAAAAGCATCAGATTTCTCTTGATTAAGACTGAAGATTGCGCCTGTTTGTTCCAATGTCGGAATTTGACTATTAATTTTTCCAAGTAGTTTTTTAATAAGCAACCAGAATTTGTCATTAGCATGATTCTCGCCGTTCAATGTGTCAACCTCTTCATTTGTAAAATTTGACTTGGTAGTTGTTATAAGATTTTTTACAACTTCCACTTGAGCCCTATAAGCCATATAATGTTGCAAGAACAATTTTTGGGAATAGCAGGAGCAATTATCTCATTATATCAAGGTTTGTCATTAACTTTTACTTTTCTGAGTTTGCTTGGAATATGTAAAGTGAAAAATGCCATCATTGTATTTGTAAAAATTTCAGTCAGAATATTTACATCTTCAGCCTGATTAAAAATGCATTCCAGTCAATATCTGCTATGTCTTGATTTAGTGCTTCAGTGTTTGCAAGACAAAAAGTATACACCCAAAACAAATGTAATGACATAATATCAACCTGCCCTGGATTCGTGGACGTTTGTTGTACAAACTTAAACCGAACCGATGGCAAAAAAGCACTTTGAATCATGGGAATGAAGTACTTCCTTTAGTGAAAAACGGAACCAAGAAAAAACCGAATCTCGCATAGATTGCCCGACTCAAACTTTTAGACGATATAGTTATAAGAGCTTGCTCACAAAGACATAAGTAATCATGGTCGCGTAACGGAAGTACAAACACTGTAGATTTAGTCTACTTTCAATAAAATAGACATTTAGTAGAGATAAAGTAAGTAGGATTCGTGAAACTTATAGAATTAGTGAAGTATTTCATCATGTTCAACGGGAAAATGACGTCACTATTTGACATTACCTTGAACTTCCGGTGTAAACAAAAATATAATAGAAAAGTTTGCACGCTGATGAGTGTTTATAATTGGTGCAACCAGTATTGTCAGTGAATGTAGGTATTTATCGGTTCGCTGATAATTGTGATGATATACTAATACACGTTTATGCAGCACATATTAAAGTTTTACATGTTTATTATAAGTTGCATTGGCCCTACGAAGTTGGAGGAAATTATGAAAATATGCATTCCTCGACAGTTCACAGTATACAGTATGTAGGCCTATTTTCTAAGATACGACTTGAAAAGTAGCTGGCCTCAAGAGAGGTGTGGTCTCCTTACTGCTGGACGAAGCTAATGGCTTTGGTTCGGTGGATTTACCACCAGTGGCACCATTGCGAAAACGATCAGTCGTACTGAGGTATTTTTGGATAGGTCCTCCATCAATATTATCATTAACTGAAAATTGATGTTAAGTACCGCCTATCGAAATTGAATAGATATTGCCGTGTGAGCTCCATGCTCGATCTATAGCAGGATGGTTTCTTAGCTAATACAATATGTCCCTGTTCATAGGGCTGAGGTCTTAATACACCACGATGTTGGTGCCCTTCAATCGTGATTTGTTGTGGACGAGCCAATCTTTAACAGGGCGAAATTTGAACTTGGCTATAATTGGGCGGGGTTTATCGTTTCTCCTTGCCCCAACACGGTGTAATTATTAAAGAACATGTTCCAATAAAAATATAATTTGTGGGAGAGTATTCACTTTCATTATTGCCATAATCATGATGAATTCCATTTTGTATTAAATTATCTAACATGTTTGTAAATTATCATGTTTTTATTTTAGGTTATTTCTTTAAATAATACATGAAAAGTACAAAATAAGAACTTTCTTTGAATGTGTATATTTGCCTATTTTGAAAACCCAAGGCAATGGCTATGTATGGAACAGTTGCCTATCCTTCTTTTGAAAGCCCATGCACCACCACTATAAGTACTTGAAATTGAAACTTGTGAATTGCAGACCGTTATGGGGCTTTGAATCAAGGTAGCACTCACAAATTCTTCTACCGAATGACGGATAAACCAACTCTTTATGACAAAGTGGAAAATGGGCCTTAAACTTTTAGTTTTAGGGGCCCGATTTCTCAGACTTGAAAATTCTTTCTCCTAATTTGCATGACTACCTCCCTTCTCATGCTGCCATTTACAATATTTCTTGTGAAGGTTTTTGTACTGAGTTAACCTATTCCATTTTAACACGTTGACTAGCCTTGTTTTTTTTCAAATCTTGAAATCGTTTATTTGTAGACATGACAAACCACATTGACATGCTCGGTTCGTGATGGACTAAATTATCCGTCGCCGGCAAGTGAAATCGGTTTCAATAGTTTAAGTTTCAAAAAATTATGACAACTTTTGTCATTTTTTCACTGTTTTGCGAATGTAAACAAAGGATGTTTGGACCCTAAGGCTTTTCCATTATTCCATCTACAGAGATGTATTTGGTGTCTAAAGAAGTAGAATCAATTCAACAGTATCGCCGTGTGAATTTACTGTGAAACATATTCTCAATTCTTGTATGACAAGGTCACCATTTTTCATAAAATGGTATGATTTATTTAAAAGATATACTGTATAACATGTATTAAATCCAGATGCTTTATTTTCCGAATTGGATTAAAATTGTTATTGCCGAATAAAAGTTTGCCGACCTGACACCCCTAAATGTAAAGCCAAATAAAATATTGCTAAGTTGACACCCCTAATATAATTTTGATTTACAACTGAATGTTAATCACCTTCATTTGACTGACTCAGAAAACCTGACATCCTGACATTATGAGTGACAATTTGAGTGATTTATTCACATAATACCTGCATTCGATAGACTCAGGAAAATTAATACCAGGATTAAAAACTTTTAATATAGGGATTTCCAAAGCACTTGGATACAATTAGATCTTTTGATATTTTAACTCTTTAACATGACAATCCTTTAATATTTTATAGATTTTACTGCATGCATTCTAACTGCAACATTTTTATTATTAACTTTTTATTGTAATTTTATTCTTGGGAATAAAGCTTTGATTTTATCATTGATACTCGTTCGAAAATTACCCTATTACAGTAAATTGACGCACGCTAGACAACTACCATATTATCGCCCACTAAGATCGATCTTCAATTACTTAATTATATTTCCGAATTTTATGTTGCCGTTTCTGTTTTACATTCGGCAATCGGCAACTTTATATCAACGGCAATATTTCATGTTATACAGTAGACCTAGATATATAGATTAGAGGTGTATTCGACGATATTACTCCTGCTCTGAGGTCTATATTACGATTCGAACATGAAAACTCACCAAAATGTTTCGAATATTCATTATGGTCCGACATTACTACGGCCTGCCGTTATGACGTCACATATTACTCGTATAAGTAGCAGGGGCATTGATAGCGAGTATATCCCGGGTGAAATGTTGACTTTGTTCATAGTTTATAGAAGGCGTGAATACAGTCATGTTTGAATCTGTATTAATGTAAACAAAACAACCAATACGAAATGATATAAACAGTACCGTGCCATATGTAAGGTTAAGATTGTCTCATCAACATAATATTAATGATTTGTATGATTGATTGATACCCTTTGCATTCGTTTGACTTCACTTAAAAAAGAGCTTCGTCTTAGTTTAACCGTAGTTTAACTAGACTCTGCACGCAGGGTAATTGATTGATTGCCACGACTTAAGTCTTTTATACTATTAAACAGACTCAAAATCCTTATCACAAACGTTTAAATAGACAAAGAGTCACCATTTAATCTACACATATAATGCAGGTGCGTGAAACACGTCAAATGATTTTTACATTTGACTGTCCCTTGACATGAATACTAAGCTTACTCTTGAAGTGTATTGCATCATTCCTCTAAACTATGAATCATAGTTGGCACCAAATGCTTATAAACTTGGATAAATATAATCTTCTCGGGGCATTTTAGACGCATCTCATTTTCAGATACTCTAGATGATGTATTGCTGAATATAATTGGGGAAAAGATTGGGGAAGATTTTCAAACCCTTGCAATTAATCTTGGGCTAAGGGACGAAATCGATAACATAAAAGCAAGTGATCCACATGTGGCTAGAAATTGGGGATTCCAGTTGCTAAAGTTATGGCAGCAGAGAACGGAGGTTCTTCACCAAAAGGAGGCTCTTGCAAAGACACTTAGAGATATCAAAAGAGTTGATCTCGCGAGAGAAGTCGAGGCCTACACACCTCCTTAAACGATGAAAACGGTAATACATGAACATAATACGTATATAGAGATTATCCTATATGAGGTTCAGGATATTGGGATTATCCCGAGGCCAATATAATATATCTGCCCGAGGGCCGTAGGTCCCGAGGGTAGATATATTATATTGGCCAAGGGATAATCAAAATATCCTGAACCGACTATAGGATGATCTGTTTATCCCATACCAATCACATTTTCAATTGGCCACAGTTCAGAAACTTTGCAACCAACTGTGGAATTATTTTTAAATATTCATGTCCAGTTTTGTATTCTTGTCGGATTTTCGTGTTCAAATCTTTGATTATTAACGGGGCATACTGCCCCTTCCCTACATTAAAGCATCAAACAGATCGCGATTGTCTGCGTTTTTCTCCATTGTCGTTTACAATATGCGAGCGTTACAAACAAAGAACCAATACGACGGGAACAGCGATTATGACGTAGCGGGCAGATATACTATATCTGCCCGCTAGGAGCGGGACGTAAAGCTATATCTGCCCGCTGATGAAAATATAAGTTTTTACAAACCGGCTTTATGTACCTGTAACACGTCCAAGTATGGGATAAATCTATTTATTCTACGTCTGTTTGAGGTCACACCAAATCACTGTGGAGTAACTCCTCAAACTAGGTACGGAAACGGATCCGTTTTCGTAACAAAATGTTGCAGCCTTGAAGGTGGGATTTTTCTTTTTTCATAATTTTACGAGTTGTAGGCAAAATATCATCGTGGTAAGCCACGCCCTCTCAATCTCTATCCTTCTGGAGAGCATCTGCGATGCAACAGAGAGATATGCTATCTACGAGAATGGCATATTCACAACTTGTTTGACACAAACATCTGTCAGTATTAAAAGTTTATGGAAATCTAATAATACGAAAACTGATAGTGATCAAAATAATTTCTCACTATTATTACGTAAGGAGAGCAGTTAAAAGTGCAGATGTAAACAGTTTTAACGTTCCTTTTTCGAAACAAAGGTGAAGAAGTTCAACGACGATTTGGTTGTCTCGTGAATTATTCGTTCACAAACGTTTGGATTTTTTTAAACATATGATAATGACACACGTTTTTGCCAAAAAGATCGTGAAGATTCTGCCTTCAACTCAAGAAATCGTTGAAAAATTAAAATCGTACTTTCGTAGCTGCGACGAAGTCACTCCACTCCACAGTGAGTATCACGAGGTACTAACTTCGACCGTAAATTTGAATTTTTGAATTACCAAATGATTGAAAATCAAGGATTGCAAGTCTCATACTGCACCGTTTTTCAAACTTGTTCAATTCAAATAAACAAAATGTCTTTCTGTTGGTACATTATTCTGTTATACAGAGTCCCCACTTCCAGCAGCATTTTGGTCCCCAGTTGTGAGAAGGGCTTCTAACAGCTGGGGACCAAAACGCTGGTAAAACGAGGGACTCTACAATTAAACAATGCACCGTCAGAAGTGCTTTGCTTTGAATGGATCAAGTTTGAAGAAAAACGCTGCAGTATGAGGCTCGCAATCCTTGATTTTCAAACATCTGGTAATTCAAAAATTAAAATTAACGGTCGAAGTTAATACCGCGTGGAGTATAAGCTGTGACGAGTATAGACATAACTTAAGTATATTTCATATTGTTTCGTTAAAAACATTTTGTTCAATAGTTTAACGATTTATGTTCTAGCTCCCTCGTTTACTAGGAAGAGGAAATGTGATTTGTCCCCTTAAATTCGTACCATGTAGAACATATATTTCAAGACCATCGACAACAGGCTTGAAGATGAAGAGTGAAGAGTGCGTGTGTGTTTCGTTCACGCACCACGGACACATGACTGTGAAACAAATTGAGAAAATATGATATTTTGGATGTAATGTCTTTCAACGGGATATTGAGAGTTGGGTGGAGCAGATATAAATGGTGAAATGTATCATTACCCTGTACTTCGATATGCGAATGACATCGCATACACGCACGCTTACACGCATATTTACACGCACACATACAACCAACATTCACATCAACAATAGCTTAACTGTTATTTCTAGGTCACATTTCCCCCAATTCATCAGCCGGCACCCTGCCGATTTAGTATTTTGTTCAAAATTGAAGGTCAGATCTTAAATTTGAGGTCAGATGTGTTCTCCTGAGAACTTGTACATGATTTTAAAAAAAGGTTTGGTCAATTTGAAGCAAGCTGAAATCAGCTTTGAACAAAATACTGCAATCGGCCTGGCGCCGGCCGATGAATCGGAGCAAAGATGACCTATGCATCATACAAGCTATGTTATGCAGTCATGCATGATAAAAATGCACACATAGTACAACATGATATATGATCCTGGAAATCATTACAGAGTAACCATCTTATTACGACTGGTTAAACTTTTAAGAAAAACGTTAATACGTGATTGAACTTGTATATCAGTTATAGACAACTCAGTTATTGACAATTGAAATGGATGGTTACCATTATATAAAAATAGGTTCATCTTGTTCATTTCGGGGATATCTTTTTAAATATTTAAATTGATGCGATGACGACATATGGAAATATATTTTTCATCGTGAACCCAGTGATTGCAATTCTGGTACGGAGATTATGTTTACCAGTGATAACAATGCTAACGAATTCGAAAAATGACGTGAACGGCTTGAATAAGGATTAAAACAGTGTTGCTGATGAAATTTAAATAGGCGTAATGCTTTGCTCTAACTGCTAAATGTATTAAGATATTACGTTGAATTAAGATTAAAGTATATTTTGTTTTTTAAGTCTGCAGATCAGCTTATAAATCGTTTTTGAAGACAGTTCGGAAATCATGTTTACAACTGTTCTGAATCTTGCTTCTACCCATCTGGTCTTTGATTCGTGTTTTATTAGATATGGAAACATAAGACTTGTCAATATTTGAGCTTCTTTCACCCCAAAAGCAGTCGCACAATGTATTGAGTGCAGAGCTTAAATTCTTTAACCGGGTCCGTAGCCAGCTTTTCAGGATGTTTAACATTTTACTTCTTTGGCCCAAAATAAATAAAGTACCCAAAGGTTTGGGGACCTGAATTATTTATAGTTCAGTGGATTATTCCCAAACTTGTACAATATTATATAATATTATGTAAATAAAGGAACAGATTTAACATGGCAAGAGATTTTGGACAGCTGTATTTTTGGTCACGGGTATTTCCCGACCATACAATGAACATTTTATGTTAAAACAATATCTTGACTTCAACGAAAGTGCATAAAATAATAAAACCTCATTTGGATTCTTCCGATTAGCCATGGATTGGAAACCCACCTCCTCACAAAAATACAGCTGTCCAAAATCTCTTGCTATGTTAAATCTGGTCCTTTATCGAACCAAACTTGTTGGTTTTGTTGAGGTGTGCAACAAAGCTTTGGTAACCACATGCAAGTGATAACATAAATTAACTCTTATTGAACATATTCTATTAGAGCATTTATGTTTGAATCTAGCTTGATGTTAAAGTTTTATAATAGGTAAAAAAATCAGTCAGGCTGTTTTCTGCTGACACACATGTTCTTATTGATGCCATACTAGGAAGTCAGGCAGATGTTCTCCAACAATTGGATGATGACACATTTTGTAATTTTTTACTAATTATTGCAAATAAGCTGCAATTTGTGCAGCACTATTTCGTGTAAATATTATTCTTACATTATCATGTTTATTCTGTATTGTATAAAATAACTGTATTGTAATTATATTATGTTTGTTGCTCCGATTAATTTTCGGGAATAAAAGAAACAATGAACAATAATATTCGAATTTGATTCCTCCACTTGATCGACTTTATAATTGCATTGTCAATTCACGATATTTTCTCACAAAAGTTCCAACAAAAAACTCAGTGCGTTTAAATCGATCCAATTTCTGGCTAGAGAAGAACAGATAAAGAAGATATAATGGATGCTATTTGATATAACATTGTAGTTAACCTGTAATTAATTTTGAAAAAGATCCTAACAAATTATGCAACAGAGAACGGCCGTGCATAACACTGGAAAAGTACGTACACTCCCAAAAATAGGTTTGTCAACTACTAGAGAAGTACACTCCCAAAATAAGTTTGTCAACTGGATTTTTTTATTTAATAGTCTGATAACTTTTGGATTTTAATTTTTTCTTTAATTACAATATATAATAGGACTGAAATTTATGACCGATGATTATTTCAAACTACTAGACAAGGGGATTGATTCTACTGCCAAATGTATGGAGGGGAGGGTTTTTTGTGACTATATGGTAAACAACTTTATCTGAGCAACTTGCAACTTTACCCCCCCCCCCCCCCTCTACAACTAGTGATAGTCCTGATATTTTATGCAAGGTTATGTAAAAATGAATAAATGTAATCTTTTTTATATTCTTGACCCAGCTTATATATGCTAATAATTATAACGATTGATGTTGTCCAACCCCTATGTATCCGAGAAAACCAAAACGGGTAAGTAACTTTTAACAATACATTATGCATACATGAGTTATTTTATGTTGGGCACTTCTTCAAAATTGTAAAGTATTAGCATCAACCCTTAAGTAAGTTTTATTGTAACAACACTGTAGTACACGTAGCAATTATTAAAATAGAAATATGCGTAGTCTCACACCGGAATAGCCTGACAACGGTGATGCCAGATACCGTTGTCACAAATGGCGGACATAACCGTCGCTTCAACTCTTTAATCACTTGGTCCTCGTTTCATGGGGCTTTATCGTCGCTAATTCTGTGCTTGTGTTAAGCTCGTGTGATGATGCATTATATGAAATCACAATTTCTATCAAATGGGGTCGTGAATTGCTATAATATAGCGTCTTCGATATCGTCAATGACAACGGAATCTGAATTTGAAATACTTTACGAAGACAATGGCCTATGGTATGATGTGACAACGGACTGATGGATGTATTGCATTGGAACATAGGAAAATGACAACGGTAAATAGACCTTTACCGTTGTCTTTACACAAATCAATGTCAATTTAATATTACCGTTGTCACCTCGATTTTACATCACATTTGACCCACACCTGTCATTTATACAGTATCCGTTGTCCTGTGTCATATTCCGATCGGTATAATTAAAGCCTTCATTTCGATGGTAGAACATTATACAAATAGTGACTGCCATTGAGGGCAATAGTGTAAATTATTTCCCCGAGGGAATATCCAGCCTGCAGCTTCGGGAATAGTACATTGTAGAGGATATTCCCAAGGGGAAATCATTTACACTATTGCTCGAAATTAGGCAGTCACTATTTGTTTTATTATATACCTTATTCTGACTCTTGTCCCGTTTCCTCTGCGAAGGCCAAAAAGGCTTAGAAAGCCCCCTCCCCGGGTCCATTGTTAGCATTATAAGCTGTGACGTCATCAGATGCTCAACAGAAATGTTTGCCTCTGAGACTCTCACCTGACAAATTCAATCGCGTTTAACACGCGGAATAGATTATCATAACACTTGAAATTACACAGACGTATTGAGATTAGGGAACTTTATACACGTTGCTCATATTGTATCGTTCTCACACGTCTGTCATGGTGAACGGAGTTGATTTGTGTTTGTGCTCATCCTCCATTTTAATGTTTTTCGTCTGCGCAGTGATGATGCGCAGACGTTTCCAAGGGTAATAGAAGTTGCAATCGTGACGTCAGCGGGCAATAGTTCAAATGTATATTCCCGCTGACGTCACGTTTGAGGGAATATAACTTTCCGAGGGAAATAGTAAATCTATTTCGGAACACGTGACTAGGTATTGACCAATCAGGATTAGTGTTACATATTGGGTATATAATGAATTTAATTATATGATCAGTAGAAAACACTTTGAATGATTGCAGTACCAAAGGAATTTAAACTAATCGCATTATTAAACATACAGTACATAAAAATCTCATTGAAGCCACGGTTATGTCCGCCATTTGTGACAACAGTATCTGACTTTACCGTTGCCAGGCTATCCCGGTGTGAGTTTAGATATTAATTTTTATCTGAGATTCTAAAACAAATGTCTCGTTCATCTTGTTGGCATTATTAGCAAGCGTTCAATCTGTTGCGAACCAATATTGCCATTATTGAGAAATGCAGACAGATAATAAGGGTTGGGCTACACGTTTCAAGAGAATGTGCACGGGCAGGTGTAACAGCATTACCCCGGCATTACCGTTCCTCTCACAATTATTGTCCACGTCCGGGGACCTAATTGAATTACGGCTACATGTATCATTACACTCATCAGGTTGGAAATTTAGGGTAGGGCTTATTAATCTTGGATCACGTTCACGTACGAGTTCTTAAGCTTGTAGCTTTACCTATGTATTTTTAAACTGAAGGAATAGGCCAATATCCGAAAGGACTAAAAATGCAAGTTATATGTATTATATTCATTAATTGTAGTTTTATTCCTAATATTGCTAGCTAAGTAAGAAACTTTTAGATTTAGCAAAGTGATCAATTCTTTACTGAAGGAGAAGTCCTGTGAAAATTAACTGTTGTCCCTGGGTAATTGTCCAAACTGTGTCCTGTATTTCGGTTACCTTGTATTGTACGGGAACACGACAATAAATAAAAAGGCAAAGTCATTTCTTCGCACGTGTATAAGTGATGTAGCATGATGATCATGCTTAATAATCATATACTTCTCTTTTTCTTAATTATATTTTTTTAAATCAAGATTGTGGTGTGTTTTAAAGGAAGTAAAAATAAGGTTGATTTCTCTTGAGTTTGTCTTCATTTTTATCACAACGACGAACATGTTTTTATTTCACTATAGTCTGTAGATTTAACAGCTCTAAACAAATAGTTTCGAATGAATTTACAGTTTCACCTTTCGCCTATTCAGAATATTTTAAAATCCCAAGGGCATGAGAATTTTAAAAGACAGTCGAAACAAAGGCACGCGCCTTAACAAAATCCCGATGCGCATTTTAAAACAACAAACTTGGGGGTCGGAGAAATAATCTACTTTGAACCAGGTGTAAAAGGGTAGGAGGTCCTATCAAATTATGGTCCTACTCTCCATTGATTTATATGGTGACCTAAATACAACTATTTCCCTCATTATCTTACACGCAATCAGGGCCAGTAAGGGCCGTTAAGAAAGGGGACCATAATCCCTGGGGGACCATCCTTTCTTTCACACCGGGCCTCCCTACCAGCATTAACGATAATACACACTTCTAAGTCATGCACATGTTTATAAAATAAGGGGATCGTGTTCAAATATGTAAATTATATACTCTTGAAAAAGTCTATATCTTAATGAAATAAGGTGGTCAAGTTTAGTTGTTTTCGTTCTTTGTAAAACACGGCCATATATACATATATGTACATTACTAATTCATACACATGTTTATTAAATAAGGAGTCGAGTTTATTCATTTTTGTAGCAATGCCATGAACTTAACTCACTTGTGCACACATTAATTAATTAGGGGGACGAATCTAGGTATTTCGGGCAGTGTAAAACATGGTCAATTATGCACATAACTTTAAATATTTGTTAATGAAACTTGTGTATAAACGTAAAGCATGATTGATTATGTAAATGTACATGTAAATGAATGAAAAGCTCAAGTTAAATCATTTTTGAACGAAAACCCCATAAACCCATGCGCGTTTAGATATATAAATGGATTGTGTGTGTAAACGAATGCCTCGAGTTTTCATTTTGTGAGGCTATGCGTCCGACTGGCTTGAAAGTGAGATTTATGATAGCAATCGTACACAATCATCGATTGTTCATTTTTGTCCAAACACAATCGGAACGCATGCATACATGTTTACAAAGGACAGGATCTCATATGAGGAGTGCTACGTCGAATACTTTGCTATTAAGGTACGTCTAAAGTTTTAAGTTTAGAAAACTAAATTGAAAGACATTGATCTGGATAGCTAATAACTTGAGTCTTCCCGGGAATCTTTCAAAATTTTCAAAGGTTATCCATAATAAAATGAAATAAATTGAATGATTCATTCATATGTGTGTCATATTCTCTGAAGGTATGTTGTGAAGGTGCATTGGAATTGACTATATCCATGATTTGTGTAGCATAAATGGTTGGCTCTCAGAAAATATAGCCAATCACTTTATCGCCCTATTTGGTCCATATTCAGTAATTTAATTAAAATGAAGAAATTCACAAGTAATACCGACTGGTCTTGACTGATCGACTATGGAAGGTGTTCGCATGAGACTCTAATACGCTATTTAACTAGAAGGAACTAATTATATAAATTCTAACCTCAATATGTGAGCCACGAATGATGGTACATGAATAATTGAATATTTTAATACATCATGAGAACTAGTAGTGTACAGTTACAGTTTAGATTTTTTCTTCGGGGCTGTGTTGCCAATTCGTCTATAGGCCCCTAAACACTAATTGATTGTTTAGCGGCGATGTCGATTGGATCATATTAGTGAACCATTGCTGATTTTGTCTTAACCAATTTGAGGATATTTTTCACTTTGACATAACTTTTCAGAGATTTGAGAACAAATACAAAACTGCAAGTCGGCAAGCTTAAGTATCCTTTAAATATCTAATTTCACTGGACAAACATTTACATGTGTGGCCTTATACATAGTGACACCCTAGATATACGCTTAACATATAATGTCGTCATTTTCGACTTGACAATAAAGACCAAGTTATACACTAATCGAATATTAACATGTTCTTTATATATTGTAAAGTACACTCTCCATTTCGAGTTTCACATTAAAAACATAAAATTTAAATCTAAAGTGCTCTCGCAACTGAAAACTATCAATAGTGTTAAAAAAGTAGATTTAGGAGAGATTTAAGACGTTTAATCAAACAATCGACAGGTCCTTTATCTGCCACGATCCCAAAACATAGACCAACTTATGACATAAACAATCAGAACAAAAAACTTCAAAGAATTATGAAGTAGAGATTTCGGGCATTTTTTGTCAGAAACTGAGGGCATCTTATAATAGTATAATTAGAAACTGGGGGTGTAGTTTAATTTAGAAATCGATGACATCTGTCGTTCAACTAACCAGGGACCTGGTTCTCCAAATCCAATAATTATATTAAACCTCTTGTTGGTATTCTTATAAAATAGACAAGAAGGCATGACACTTATTTGAAAATCCGCAAAGTCATTGTTTAAATGTCAATTACATCTCAAGAGGTGCTCGTATTCAATAAATCAACGTTCGGTATTTCTACGTAATATTGATATTTTTATAGTTTGTCAACAAGCTACATAATAAACATGTACACACCTAATTTACATTTTAACAATGTGACTTAAGCTTAAGGCATGCTGACCTCTGATAACATGTACTGTGTAAAGGTAGCTCTAGTTACCCTTAATTAAAGGCAGAATCTGATCTATAGGGGGTGACAAAATTACGAGCAACATGTATAATTGACCTACAAATCTATTCCTTACAATATCAAATACAATATCTCCCAAAAGATTCACAATATGTTATAAATTGGTGAAGTTATTAATGATTCAAAGTGCAAAAATGGGGGAAAATGTTTAAATTCTCCCAAATAATAAGAATGGTAACCATTCTTATAGAAAAATATTACATTATTGTAAAAATCTCAAGTTTTCCTGGAATAAAGTATGCACTTTTGTGATTTTTAGAAAAAAGACATGAGAAGGAATGACATGCGCCAAAAATATTCTAAAATTGGAACAATTTTTTGTTCATCCTGCTCGCTATATCTGATTCTCTCTTTAAGGTAGCTCGGCCGGGGTTGTTGAGGTAATTAATAGAAACTTCGAGAAGTTAGAATTCCCAAACTCCATTGTTCTCTAACTTTTGACAATCCATATTTTATTCAATAAAAGTTCATAGAATGCTTTAAAGTTAATTTGATTATTTTACAAAAAAACTGATAATCTAGTATTCGAATTACCCGCTATAAGCTATAGCCTGTAACCTTCTTGTCTCATTAAATAATTTAAATTAGAAAATACGCGCCTCTAAAGTTATAATTACCTAACAAAAACATGCTTCCAAAGATCCTTCTATCCGAATTTGACCAATTAAAAGTAAGTGACGTCACAGATTTTTCGGAATTTTAGGGATTTCCCTCGTTTTTTGATAAGTCATTGCAGAGTACAAAATGAAAAGAAATGTGACCCGGTCCCCTTTCAAAAACAAATCCCTTTGGAGAATAGATTGACCAAAAAGACCTAAATGACCGAGCAGAGTGTTATTCAAAACTTTAAAGTATAGATTTGTCAATTCGCAAATCACTTCAGATTTTTTCTCAATTTTTTTAATGTCGTAAAGTGGATACTTTTTGACATATTTACGACATACTGAAGTTCTATGTCGGCCAAACTGCCCTAATTCACGTCACCATACTAGTCAATGGGCAAAAGGGCAAACGCCTGACTTTTTATCTCGAGTTATGGATTTATGTGGCCTCACTGGCCTATCTGAGGTTCTAAAGCTATGTCTAAGCTACATCTTGACAAAAAACTCAATAGGGGCCAACCATCTACTTTTTGAAATAATTGGTCAATTGTGACACTACCCCCTCTCTCTGCCGACACAAATTGAAATTCACAAAAATCAAGGCAAAATTAATGCGCCACTTGACTCGAAATTTTCCTTCAGATAACCCAAATAAACGCATTTTCAGAAGAAATGGCATGTTGTCATTGCAAAAAGATGACAACTGTGCCTACATACTAGCTTACTGACTCGTCATGATCACAATTGTGTTGGGACTACATTTATTTTTGAATACTACTTTTTTCTATTCAGCGGAAGTGACGTATTAGGGCATTTGGGCCTAATAGCAACATGGTTGGATGATTTCTGGCTTGAAATTGCGTTTTTCCAATTGACTAGAGTTTTTCAAGTTGTTTTGTGCAGTTTAAGAATATTCTGACAGCAATTATGAAAAATATGGCTACTTTATTACCCCTGGGGTCATTTTTCCAAGAACCCAATGGTTTTCCTTTAAATTTGACTAGTTTTTCATTTACATCATGAAATCTACTGCCTGATGGTGACATTTTACAATGTCGTGTCAAGAAATTGAGTATTTCATTGCATATTGCGATTTTTAGCCAAAATCACTGAACCATGAACCAGAAAATTGGGCAAATTTGGCCAACTTAGGCAAAATTTTACTAAAATTATCATTTTTTGATATTTTATTTCATTCAACAACCTCCTGATTTGAAAAATGATGGCAAATTTGATCAGATTTGACTCTGGCCTAGAGAATTGGGACTTTTGAGATAGTTTTAGCTCGAATTTGGTCATTCAGAGTGGACAAATACATCAAAAAATGACACTTAACTGACCAATCTCTGACTGTACCCCTGATATGTACCTTCATTTTTTACTAGAAACCAAAAGATGGAAAATTCAATCTTTATTATGAACAGCAACTCATTGGCTTCCCCATTTACGACAACATATGACATCTTGGGGTCATTAAGGACGAAATTATGACAAAATATCGTCAAAATCAGTGGTTTTTGGGGTAAAAAGCGAAAACTGTTGATTCAGCAAAAACTTTAAATTTGTTCATGAAAATTCCCCTTTTTGCCTACGTCCAGAATATGTTTCGTACTAATAAACTTCAATTCTGGGCGATTCTGAGTAGTTTTAAAAAATTTTGGTCACTCTCACATGTGACTAATAGGCCAAACTGCCCTAATTCACGTCACCATACTAGTCAATGGCAAAAGGGCAAACGCCTGACTTTTTATCTCGAGTTATGGATTTATGTGGCCTCACTGGCCTATCTGAGGTTCTAAAGCTATGTCTAAGCTACATCTTGACAAAAAACTCAATAGGGGCCAACCATCTACTTTTTGAAATAATTGGTCAATTGTGACACTACCCCCTCTCTCTGCCGACACAAATTGAAATTCACAAAAATCAAGGCAAAATTAATGCGCCACTTGACTCGAAATTTTCCTTCAGATAACCCAAATAAACGCATTTTCAGAAGAAATGGCATGTTGTCATTGCAAAAAGATGACAACTGTGCCTACATACTAGCTTACTGACTCGTCATGATCACAATTGTGTTGGGACTACATTTATTTTTGAATACTACTTTTTTCTATTCAGCGGAAGTGACGTATTAGGGCATTTGGGCCGTCGGCACATTCTCATATGTTTCACCCTTGGTACAATCGTTCGGTTCGATAGAGGAAGCTAAAAGTAGTTTCTAGTCCATTCCTATTTGATAAGAAAAATGATTGGCCGACAGAAGAGAGCCCAACTTGTTTTTGTTTTCTGCGCTATTCAAATATTTAATTAACTAATCAGCTTTTTTATTTACGAAACATCAAAAGCGATAGATCAACTCGGACGATAAAATCACTTGAAAAAAATCAATAAATAAAAGTTTATTGTCGATGCACGTAGGTTAAAACAAAAGCAAATAGATACAGATAGTAAATCTATTTTCTTGCACAGAAAATGTAATCACATTATTCAAATAGTTCATTAAAGGCACTAGGTGTCCTATTTCTGAATAAATATACATGTACTTGTACAGACTACCCTCCCTATAGTCTGATTTTTCCTATTTAAATGAGATTTGATAATAAAGCCCATGATTGCTATAACAGGTAAAACACATTCCCATCAAGGTCGAGTGACTTTTTCACATTATGCCTTAGCATAGAGTTTGATCCTGTTTTTTTTTAAATTAAACATTACCAGCATTAGTTTAAACTGTATATAATTCTATATGTAGATGGTGAAAATTATAGGCAAAGTTGATCGTGTGTTACAAACATGTACTTTTAATAATTAGTGAGCTGCATTCTATAAAAGTCATTTTAACTTTTTTCAGTCCCCGAAATTGTTGTTGTGTGACAACGTTTTAGGTCTGCATTTCAGATTGTGAAAAATAAATATGGCGGATAACCCAGCTTTTGTTACGGATGAGCAGAAACCGGGAGATTTTGCGAACAATCAAGGTTACATTAGTGATAAGCAGACACCTGGACATTTTGGGTATATGTCACATGGATCGTTCCGAAGAATTGATCCCGAATCGTATATCACTGACAAAAAAGCGCCGGTCCCTTTAGATACGATCAGCGATGGAACAGTCCTTCCGAGGAAACCCGAAGAACCTTCGGAACCGGAAGTAAGGTGCGTTTCAACGTGGCTCTGTTTGTGCATCAAAAATGAGAAAGTGAGGATTTATAAGAATATTGTCATAATGAGCTTGACTTTTTTGTTTAACTTCACCGCATTCCAGTCGTTGTCAAATCTCCAGAGCAGTCTGAATATAACAGCTAACCTCGGGACGATTAGTTTAGCTGTAGTCTATGGAGCACTTGTTCTGTCCTGCATGTTCCTGCCAAAATTCTTGATCCGCCATCTTGGTTGTAAATGGACGGTGACCTTAGCGGTGTTGTGCTATACGGTCTACATTGCCTGCAATTTCTACCCTGCGTTTGAAACGCTCATTCCCGGTGCTATCGTACTTGGCTTCGGGGCAGCTCCTCTCTGGTCAGCTAAATGTACATATTTGACAGAGACTGGGATCGAATACGCTAAATTGTCAGGAGAGAGGTCAGAGGTCGTCATTAATCGTTTCTTTGGATTTTTCTTCCTTGTCTTTCAGACAGGTATTGTTTCTTTCTTCATATTTTGTTCAATTGTATGTTTAATTTGACACTATTAGATTCATGCTTTTGATCAGCTCTAGACAATTATTTTTTTAATGAAACGACGAGGTATTGCTGACTATTTTTCTAGCATTTTCTCGTTTCAGGTCAAATATGGGGAAATCTGATTTCATCCCTTGTTCTGAACACAGCTAACGGGACATATACCATATCGGACGAAGAGCTTGATAAATGCGGGGCAAATTTCTGTCCCACCACCAATATCACGAACCAAAACCTGAGTAGTCCTGATGAGGAAAGGGTATGTCCATTGAATGTTTATGTCTACCATGGATGTTAATAGCCACGACAATTAAGGTTGGCCATTATATAAATATTTAGTATTTGCAGAGACGGTGAAGTATGGTAAAAATAGAATATAATTTTCATTATGGCACATTATGGTACTTCACGAGGGAATGTAATTGATATTAAGTTACTAGTAGTTTATGATGACGCTCATTATCTTTCAGAAACGCACGATGATTGCGATATATCTTGGCACCTCTGTAGCTGGTTCGCTTCTTGCATTTCTTTTTCTGGACACCTTGAAACGTGAAAAGGTCGAAGCGGAGAGAAATAGACCGGATGCCTCGTTGAACGATGATAGATCCTGTTCTGAAAAGTGGAAACCCCAAATGTTAGTGGCTACTTTCCTGCACATGCGCAATTTCAATCAGTTACTGCTAATACCATTGACGATTTATAGCGGTTTGGAGCAGGCCTTTTTGGGCGGTGATTTCACACAGGTATGCATTTCACACCTTTTTAGCAAAACTTGAAGTTACAAATATTAACTTTTTACTTTGATTATCAAGGTCGTCTTGATGGATTTTAACGTACAATTATGATGACAGTGCCGAGAAAAATGGTCTTTCTCATCTGAATATTCTCGAGGACCGGAAACAGTAACTGATCACTCAATTAGTAGTTCAGCATTCTTTGTTGTTTAATCAATTGTCCCTTTGCCCTGTGTCTTAGTTTGCCTCACCCCCCCCCCCCCCTCCGCTTTTCCCTTAATAACTGACCTGCATTTTCAGGCTTTTGTAAGCTGTTCTCTTGGAATCTACATGGTGGGCTTCACAATTATATGTTTTGGCGTAGCCAACTCACTGTGCTCGTACATATTCGGTCAACTAATGAAATACATCGGACGCATACCATTTTTCGTGTTAGGTAGGTTAGGAGGCCGATAAACCTTCCCAATAAATCGGACACATTTTGGTACGTCGAAGAAGCTACGGTATTTTAGCTAGAGTGGTGATGTCGTTAGTTGTTATTTTTCGAAATTAGCAATAATTCATATTTTGCTTGGATTTTGCTTGGACAGATTGCTACAACCAATGATATTAACATCTACAGGGTGTCCAAAAAAAGGACCGTAAGAAAGTTGAAAAACTCTGTCAATTTTGCATATTTCGCCTTGTAATTACTGAATAACTTAGTTCATTCAATGTGAATTTTGTTGTGAAAGTTTGATAATAATTTATTAATTGAGTCAAAAACTACAGCTCCTAACAAAACATGCCCCAAATTTCAAGGCAAAATATGCAAAATTGACCGAGTTATTCAACTTTCTTACGGTCCTGTTTTTTGGACACCCTGTAGCCGATATACTCAACCTTCTTCGATGTACCAAAATGTGGGAGTGGTTATTGTAGAGATATAGAAAGATAGCATACCTTAAAATATCCTTAAAATAAGCATAATAACCTTATACTCGCCCATGATTAGGTTTTATGAAAGCGGGTAGAAAATAATAAATAGCGTTGCCATAACAATGTCAACTTTCCCGAGAAAGTGCGCTCTGTAAGTATATGCCATTAATTGCATGTGCCCTACTGTCACAGGGTCGGGTTCTTATTTAAATTATACCACGATAGAACAACACTGGCATATAAATTTACTAGGGTTTATTCACAAAAATAACTAAATATTAATTATTTGCACTAACTTACTTATCAAACTACCTTAACCAAGTAAATTATAAATACAAACACAAACAAAATATAAACAAAATAATATGATATTCACTATAAATGAAAGAGTCCTTATTGTAGATAAGTCCTTTATGGACACCCTGTATGAGAAACAGTCTTGAATATTAGTATGCTAGCTGTCATGTAATATATCGTAGAAGACGAGTAGGGCTTACGGCAATAGAAGATACCACAGTCACCAATATAGACGTCGGGTCTATGACGAAGTCTCTCAGACTTTGATAATATTGTTTTGGAGATATCACTAATGTTCACTATATGCCGAGTATTCAATACAAATCTATCACTTCAGCATTAACACCATACGTCCTAATAATGTTCACAAATGTCAAGACTTTAAACTACTCTGCTCACTTTATATGTTCTTAGCACCATTAAGATGTTCATTAATTTCTCAAAGTCACTCTTCACAAACACAGTCAATTCACGTTCTCGATGTATAAGGCTTCACATCATCACTTTGATTAACTAAGCTTCACTACCATCACTATCACTGCACAAGAACGCTGGATTTGAAAGAAAACTAACTTTAGAACAATTGGAATGTAGACATCACAAAACTGAATAGAAAGTTAAGACACAGGTTTAGAAGATCTGATAATAACAAACCAGGTGAACTAAACACAAATTAATATGAAAAGTTAAAAGGTTAGAATTTATAAAATCTAAAAGAATGTTTACCTTAGACATTAATTCACCTGTAACCACATCTACACCAGCACATGTTTGTAATATAACTAAGTGTGCATGAGGAAGTAAACTGACAATAATTGGCTAAGGTCAACACTGAGTACACAAGTAATTAACTAACAATTAAAAAGATTTAAAGGACATATGTGTATTATATTACACTGACTTAAAGGACTTGTGTCAATATTGTGACATTACCCCCCAAATTGAGAAATGTTTTAATTTCTTAAGGTAAATAATGTGTAAAAATACAATACTTCTAAATGGTAGAAATGCTAAGAAATTCACACATTTCTACTCAAGTGCTTTAGTGTTTGATTTTAGGTTGTTTCCCATCGTCGCACCTGGTATTTCTCCTATGATCAGTTCACATATAGGATTGTCTATGCAGATTGCTTCTGTACGACCCGTAAAAAATGGTGTGTCTATATAGATTTCTGCAATTTCAGCTGTCTTTATTGTACGATCAATCATTATATATTTCCTTTGTTTTCCTGTCAGTTGTTTTTCTGTTACCAGGCTTGATTTCACAATCACACCACTACATCCAGTGTCTCTTAACACCTTGGCTCTTTTATTCCCTATGAATCCAATTTCAACAGGTAAATTTGAAAAGTTTTCAGCATTGTTATCACAGTTGCATAAAGATCCTGCAACTTCAATGTTGCATCCACAAGATAATGTGAGGGTACTTCCTGGCTGAAGTTCACACTTGTGACTTTCATCAAGGATTTGACAAGATGCTGTCGATATATCTTCACTATTTGTTTTCAAGTCTTCGTCGCTGTCTGTATCTGATTGTACTAGAAGTGCTGCAAGCTTAGCTATTGTTTTGTTGGCTATGGACTTAGGGCAATCTCTTGCGATATGACCTTCTTTAAAACATAGGTAACAGGTTCTACTGTTAGTTTCTGTTCTTTTGTTTGTGCCTTCGTCTCTTTTTTCATTGTTGTTGTCGCCTTTGTTTTCTTCTGGTCCGTCTTTTTTATATGTCTTGGACTTGTCAAATATTCTCTTGTATTCACTGTTATCTTCTGTCAACGTGTTCATTCCACGAGCTTTACAAAACCTATCTGCTTCTTCGATTACATCTTTTCTTGATTTTATTTTGTGTTCTCGTATGAATGTGGCGTTGGCTTTTCCACAGGAATTTAAGAATTGTTCTCTGACTATTAAGTCTAGAATATCATCAAATTCTTTTTTTACTTCAGCTAGTTCTATCCACCTCATGAAGTAATTCTCAATCCTGGACATGTACTCGGTAGGGCTTTCTCCATCTTCAGGACTTGATGAGTAGAATTTCTTCTTGTAGCCATATTCTGTCATTTTGTATTTTTTTAAGAGTCCCAACTTCAGTGCTTCGTATGAATTGCATTCTGTATCAGGCAGTCGAGTGTATACTTCAAGTGCTTTACCTTTTAGGAGTGCGCTTAAGTACATTGCATAGTTTTCTTGTCTCCATCTTTGAGTAGAGGCATAACGTTCAAATCGTAGTAGATATGAATCTATGTTATCTGTTTGTTCATCAAAGAAAGGCAGTTTGGGAATTTTGGGTGTATGACCTTGGTAGGATTCCTGCGGTTCTGTATTTTCAGCTGTTCTGCCTTCTTCTGCATTGTCATGCTTTATCTGTTCCAGATTAATCTGTAACTGCAATTCTCTTTGCCTTTGTTCGCCTATTAACTGCAATTCTCTTTGCCTTTGTTCACCTATTTCTATGGTCTTTATGTGTTCTCTTTCGCTTATTCTCTCTTTCCGGTCTTGTTCTTTGGTGAGTCTTTCTAATTCTTTAAACACAAATTTTTCTAGCTTTTCTTCGGTATATCCTAGGTCTTTTCCTATTTGTAGACATTTTTCCATGTCAGACCATTCAGCTAATTCTCGATCTTGAGCAATAAATCCTTTATCTGCCATTTTGTTTTTGTGTGTAAAAGATATGGTATGAGGTAAGGTATGGATATTACCCGCAGTGAAAAAGTGTACTCAGTTTGATCTTTAAGAATACAATAAGGGACAATTTGTCCGCAAGGTGTATATGTGGTATATATTTGAGAATTACATTTACTTAAATAACACACACCCTTTTACATGTTTATCACTATTTTATATATATAACTTAATTGATTTAAAAATATTTACATGAATACCTAACAATATCTAAGCGTTCTTAAATTGTGGTTAGTGGACGAGCCCCCAGTGTCACAGGGTCGGGTTCTTATTTAAATTATACCACGATAGAACAACACTGGCATATAAATTTACTAGGGTTTATTCACAAAAATAACTAAATATTAATTATTTGCACTAACTTACTTATCAAACTACCTTAACCAAGTAAATTATAAATACAAACACAAACAAAATATAAACAAAATAATATGATATTCACTATAAATGAAAGAGTCCTTATTGTAGATAAGTCCTTTATGGACACCCTGTATGAGAAACAGTCTTGAATATTAGTATGCTAGCTGTCATGTAATATATCGTAGAAGACGAGTAGGGCTTACGGCAATAGAAGATACCACAGTCACCAATATAGACGTCGGGTCTATGACGAAGTCTCTCAGACTTTGATAATATTGTTTTGGAGATATCACTAATGTTCACTATATGCCGAGTATTCAATACAAATCTATCACTTCAGCATTAACACCATACGTCCTAATAATGTTCACAAATGTCAAGACTTTAAACTACTCTGCTCACTTTATATGTTCTTAGCACCATTAAGATGTTCATTAATTTCTCAAAGTCACTCTTCACAAACACAGTCAATTCACGTTCTCGATGTATAAGGCTTCACATCATCACTTTGATTAACTAAGCTTCACTACCATCACTATCACTGCACAAGAACGCTGGATTTGAAAGAAAACTAACTTTAGAACAATTGGAATGTAGACATCACAAAACTGAATAGAAAGTTAAGACACAGGTTTAGAAGATCTGATAATAACAAACCAGGTGAACTAAACACAAATTAATATGAAAAGTTAAAAGGTTAGAATTTATAAAATCTAAAAGAATGTTTACCTTAGACATTAATTCACCTGTAACCACATCTACACCAGCACATGTTTGTAATATAACTAAGTGTGCATGAGGAAGTAAACTGACAATAATTGGCTAAGGTCAACACTGAGTACACAAGTAATTAACTAACAATTAAAAAGATTTAAAGGACATATGTGTATTATATTACACTGACTTAAAGGACTTGTGTCAATATTGTGACATTACCCCCCAAATTGAGAAATGTTTTAATTTCTTAAGGTAAATAATGTGTAAAAATACAATACTTCTAAATGGTAGAAATGCTAAGAAATTCACACATTTCTACTCAAGTGCTTTAGTGTTTGATTTTAGGTTGTTTCCCATCGTCGCACCTGGTATTTCTCCTATGATCAGTTCACATATAGGATTGTCTATGCAGATTGCTTCTGTACGACCCGTAAAAAATGGTGTGTCTATATAGATTTCTGCAATTTCAGCTGTCTTTATTGTACGATCAATCATTATATATTTCCTTTGTTTTCCTGTCAGTTGTTTTTCTGTTACCAGGCTTGATTTCACAATCACACCACTACATCCAGTGTCTCTTAACACCTTGGCTCTTTTATTCCCTATGAATCCAATTTCAACAGGTAAATTTGAAAAGTTTTCAGCATTGTTATCACAGTTGCATAAAGATCCTGCAACTTCAATGTTGCATCCACAAGATAATGTGAGGGTACTTCCTGGCTGAAGTTCACACTTGTGACTTTCATCAAGGATTTGACAAGATGCTGTCGATATATCTTCACTATTTGTTTTCAAGTCTTCGTCGCTGTCTGTATCTGATTGTACTAGAAGTGCTGCAAGCTTAGCTATTGTTTTGTTGGCTATGGACTTAGGGCAATCTCTTGCGATATGACCTTCTTTAAAACATAGGTAACAGGTTCTACTGTTAGTTTCTGTTCTTTTGTTTGTGCCTTCGTCTCTTTTTTCATTGTTGTTGTCGCCTTTGTTTTCTTCTGGTCCGTCTTTTTTATATGTCTTGGACTTGTCAAATATTCTCTTGTATTCACTGTTATCTTCTGTCAACGTGTTCATTCCACGAGCTTTACAAAACCTATCTGCTTCTTCGATTACATCTTTTCTTGATTTTATTTTGTGTTCTCGTATGAATGTGGCGTTGGCTTTTCCACAGGAATTTAAGAATTGTTCTCTGACTATTAAGTCTAGAATATCATCAAATTCTTTTTTTACTTCAGCTAGTTCTATCCACCTCATGAAGTAATTCTCAATCCTGGACATGTACTCGGTAGGGCTTTCTCCATCTTCAGGACTTGATGAGTAGAATTTCTTCTTGTAGCCATATTCTGTCATTTTGTATTTTTTTAAGAGTCCCAACTTCAGTGCTTCGTATGAATTGCATTCTGTATCAGGCAGTCGAGTGTATACTTCAAGTGCTTTACCTTTTAGGAGTGCGCTTAAGTACATTGCATAGTTTTCTTGTCTCCATCTTTGAGTAGAGGCATAACGTTCAAATCGTAGTAGATATGAATCTATGTTATCTGTTTGTTCATCAAAGAAAGGCAGTTTGGGAATTTTGGGTGTATGACCTTGGTAGGATTCCTGCGGTTCTGTATTTTCAGCTGTTCTGCCTTCTTCTGCATTGTCATGCTTTATCTGTTCCAGATTAATCTGTAACTGCAATTCTCTTTGCCTTTGTTCGCCTATTAACTGCAATTCTCTTTGCCTTTGTTCACCTATTTCTATGGTCTTTATGTGTTCTCTTTCGCTTATTCTCTCTTTCCGGTCTTGTTCTTTGGTGAGTCTTTCTAATTCTTTAAACACAAATTTTTTAGCTTTTCTTCGGTATATCCTAGGTCTTTTCCTATTTGTAGACATTTTTCCATGTCAGACCTTTCAGCTAATTCTCGATCTTGAGCAATAAATCCTTTATCTGCCATTTTGTTTTTGTGTGTAAAAGATATGGTATGAGGTAAGGTATGGATATTACCCGCAGTGAAAAAGTGTACTCAGTTTGATCTTTAAGAATACAATAAGGGACAATTTGTCCGCAAGGTGTATATGTGGTATATATTTGAGAATTACATTTACTTAAATAACACACACCCTTTTACATGTTTATCACTATTTTATATATATAACTTAATTGATTTAAAAATATTTACATGAATACCTAACAATATCTAAGCGTTCTTAAATTGTGGTTAGTGGACGAGCCCCCAGTGTCACAGGGTCGGGTTCTTATTTAAATTATACCACGATAGAACAACACTGGCATATAAATTTACTAGGGTTTATTCACAAAAATAACTAAATATTAATTATTTGCACTAACTTACTTATCAAACTACCTTAACCAAGTAAATTATAAATACAAACACAAACAAAATATAAACAAAATAATATGATATTCACTATAAATGAAAGAGTCCTTATTGTAGATAAGTCCTTTATGGACACCCTGTATGAGAAACAGTCTTGAATATTAGTATGCTAGCTGTCATGTAATATATCGTAGAAGACGAGTAGGGCTTACGGCAATAGAAGATACCACAGTCACCAATATAGACGTCGGGTCTATGACGAAGTCTCTCAGACTTTGATAATATTGTTTTGGAGATATCACTAATGTTCACTATATGCCGAGTATTCAATACAAATCTATCACTTCAGCATTAACACCATACGTCCTAATAATGTTCACAAATGTCAAGACTTTAAACTACTCTGCTCACTTTATATGTTCTTAGCACCATTAAGATGTTCATTAATTTCTCAAAGTCACTCTTCACAAACACAGTCAATTCACGTTCTCGATGTATAAGGCTTCACCTCGATGTATAAGGCTTCACATCATCACTTTGATTAACTAAGCTTCACTACCATCACTATCACTGCACAAGAACGCTGGATTTGAAAGAAAACTAACTTTAGAACAATTGGAATGTAGACATCACAAAACTGAATAGAAAGTTAAGACACAGGTTTAGAAGATCTGATAATAACAAACCAGGTGAACTAAACACAAATTAATATGAAAAGTTAAAAGGTTAGAATTTATAAAATCTAAAAGAATGTTTACCTTAGACATTAATTCACCTGTAACCACATCTACACCAGCACATGTTTGTAATATAACTAAGTGTGCATGAGGAAGTAAACTGACAATAATTGGCTAAGGTCAACACTGAGTACACAAGTAATTAACTAACAATTAAAAAGATTTAAAGGACATATGTGTATTATATTACACTGACTTAAAGGACTTGTGTCAATATTGTGACACCTACTCTCTCCCCATCTCCTTAACAATGTGTGCACGCCCCCCCCCCCCTCCTCCTCTCATTCACCTTCATACAAAATAGAACGGTCGAAAATGCTGTCTGATCATAATATTCTATTACAATAAAAAAAACTTGACTTTTGATTATTTTCTCGTATTATTGACATGTTTTATTGATAACATTTTGATTTCAGCTGCTTTATTGAATTACGGTGTGCAAATTGCGTGGTTGCTATGGCGACCAGATCCGAACCAGTTAGTCGTATTCTTTGTATTCGCTGCTCTGTGGGGGGTCTCAGACGCTGTGTGGCAGGCACATATTAATGGTACTCATTTTCACAATTCTGTAAAAGCGGATGCTTAACAACGCAAATAATGCCATGCTCGAATGATTTATTTCCATGGCAACACCAATAAATAGATGTTCCTCTGATCTTATCATATACAAGCATTACATTTTTAGTTATGTTTTGGGTTTTGTTTCCTCAGAAATCATCGGTGATCAACACAGTCTTATTTTACTGTATTGGATAACCGACCGACATATTCAATTTTCAGCTATGAATTTATTTTTCAGCCCTGTATGGCTCAATATTCAGCGACAATTCAGAGGCAGCCTTCTCCAATTATCGTTTATGGGAATCGCTTGGTTTCATCATAGCCTACGCCTACCAAGGCTTTCTATGTGTCCCAGTTAAGATATACGTTCTCATCGGCGTCCTCACAATTGGTATGGCTGGCTACTTTACAGTTGAAATACTTGAAAGGAGAAGAAAACGCAAGGAATAGATGTCACTAATGTTTACTGTTTCAGACATATTTCTATAGTAGTTCGTTCGGTGCATTTCTATTCGATACGATAGCACTGAACGAACTGTTCGGAGATTGGTAAAGTGCTGTACATTGATTGCCAAATTGAAAAAAATACAAACAAGTCGGTGCCAAACGTTTTCGATTGATTTTAAAATGTTTTATTTACATGTCTACCTTACGAGACAAATCATTATAGATTTCAAATTCAATAAAATGCTTTACAATTTCAAAATTAATAATTTTAGTGAATGAATTTTTTTATTAATATTCACTTTATTGTGAATCTAATTAACATGCATTTTAGAATTAGCTTTTATAAATATATATTTCGCAATGATAAGTATGTATATATATGTATATCATATTTGTAATGAACGCTTGAATAATTTTTGTACCTATTATGTTATCATGTTTAATGTATTCTTTGGATATTGTGCGTGTTTATGGGAAGGTCAAGCTACGTGTTTTAAAAGAATGTGTACATGAACGTCTAGATTTTGTTCCACCGGGATAAGTTCTCTCGTTCGTAATGATTATATGGAAAGGAGTAAGTTGTTATGAGGTCCCACAAAAAATGTGGGACATTAATCCATATGGTTAAACTATTACACGTTCATGTAGTATACCTTGACCTCCCTAATTTGTTCATTGAATTTAAAATACAATTGAAAAAGGTAGCTATAATGCAATATAAAAAATAATTTTTTACCATATTGTAGTAGATTTGTAGATTTATAATAAATATTTAACCATTGGATATGATGTTTGCTTAATATCTAATGCTCTTTCAATTTTTTCTGCTTGGCATAGTTTCGATGATATATTCTTAACTGAAGTAAAGATATCGGCAGTGTGCAACGATAATTGTTTAAGCAGATTGATGGTATAATTTATAATTAACATATTAAGCTTCATTATTACATTAAAGCCATGGGGTTAATGAATTGTCAACAATTTTAGGAAATAGATCAAACCTTCACTCAAAAAAAGAATAATTCAGAATAATTTTCAATGCAGATTTATTTAATAGTTCAGGTCTAAGATTTGGACTGAATGATGATTTTATTTTGCAGGCTACCATACATGTGTCCTAAAGGTCCATTGTCAATTTCTAAGTTTTAAATATAAAGTCATCTCGAATTATAAATAAAATATAATTTAATTTGATTTGTTGAATCTTGAGAACGAAGGTAATTTTCCATGAAACATCCTCGTAAGAGAAAGGGAAGGGAAGTGAAGCAGGACATTTGTTCTTTCTTATCACAAATAATAAATGAAAACACTCTAGAAAATAAGATAAGCATATACCGGAGAAGATAATAATCCAGTCTTGTGTTCCACGGTGCAATATTATCCAACAGTTCGGCAAACAGAAAGCCCAATTTGAAAACTTTGAAAAAATCACTAAACATGAACAGGCTAATAAATTATAACACATTCTTCAAAAGGTGTCCTTTAGTTGGCAAGAAATGTATTTGTGCTGCTATCTAAGAGGCTTTTTCTTCTTCGTGTTGTAGTCGTTGATCTCTTTCAATTTTCATGAGGCAAAAAATAAGAAAAACAACACAAAGGCATATTATTGCCATCAGAAGAAAATACCATCGATAGCATCTTTCTCCATAGCAGTATTTTGATCCAAGTTGGCTATTTGTTTCATAAAAGAAAGCAAAAAGTTTTTGAAATGTAAGAATTCCAATTCCTCGACCTATTGCAATGAGACCACTGTTTTGTCCATAATATTTAAGACCAAAAAGTTGTATTGCAATTATATTATTTTGTGTGTAAAACGACCCATATGCCAGCGCCATTATCATAGAAGAGAAAATTAAACCACCCAAACTTTGATCGGAAATAGAAAATGACACATGACCAACACATGAACAGATTCCCGGAAATAACAAAATTGATGACTTCGGAATGTCTGGCCATTTCTGAAATATGAAATCTGGTATCATTCCACCAAAAAATCGCCCAAATGATGAACATATCGGTATTACAACTGTGAAAATAATTGCATATTCCTCGAGGCGTGCAGATTTCACTACCGTCGTGATGTTATTTGTAAAAGATCCACCAACACCCGCAACTATTAGGGAGATTATAATCAAGTAATAAAACTGAATTGTTTTAATGATTTGCCAACACGTCATTTCTGGTTGAGGCAACCGGTCTGTTTTCTTCGAAATCAGTTCAGTTTTGTCATTTACTTCTTTCTTGGTGCCAACTGGGTCATTATCATGCCCTTCGGCTGTTGCATCTTTAGTCTCATCTCCATTTTGTTTGGTACTTGCCAGTTCAGCCTCCTTAGGATCGTCCATCCCTTCTGATTCCATTTTAAGCAAAATGGCAGCATATAGATTAATGCAAAACGATAATAATGCTAGCATAATCAAGAACTCTGAAAGCTTTTGATTCTCTGCATCTTCAATGTGCCCCTGTACAAATAATCCCTCATAGATGGCGCTGAATATTGCAGGGCTTATGCCGTATATGGTACTATATAACCCAAGTATTTTACCCATATGTTTTCTTTTAAAGTTTTTGCAGATTACTACCTTCGTTGCCACGATTATGAAACGGATCCCGCCTGAAGTCAAAAAATAAAATACAGATAGAAGCCAGCTTTTTGTAGTAAAGAATATCTTAAACTGTGTTGCCATCCACATCAGCGCAAATCCCAAAGTCGTAAGAATAAGTGACACTGTACATGTCACTCTCGGCCCAAAGTTGTCTAACACAAGCCCCGCTGGGAATGCAACGGCTATTGCCAAATCGCCACTCGATGCTACATAGTCCAATTCAGTCTGAGTGTAGTTGAATGTCTGTTTCAGCGCGATTGCATATGCGTTGAATGCGAACACAATTCCTCCCATGAACCAAGCAAGAATTCCTACACTCAACGAAATATATTTTTGACGTCCTTTCATCGTTTCGAACATATTGATTTGAATCCCCTTCAAAATGGTCTTTATTTTCCTTTGTCTATACTGATATTGGTACTTAACAATGTATTTTTGATCTACAATTGATTCATATACCTGCAAATATATAAAGCTCTAGTTATACGTTGGTAGAACATTTAAGATGAAGGTAAAATTTTCATATTCCAGCAGAAACGGAAGAACTTGTTTTGTAGTATCACTTTGAGTACATCTTGTCCTTCAAGGTCTTGGGGTAGTAATCAGAAATTTACACTAAACAGGAAATGAAAACATGTGGACTTCCGAAATGTTTTTAACTAAGATAACAGAGTTAAATATGGTCAAAAGTACCATGCTGAAATAGCTTTTTCAGCCCTCTGAAATATTGACTGAAAAAAGTTAAAAGTTCCGAAAGGTCACTGAACAGAATATTTTGATTTTTTCAGAAAATGTGCCCAAAATATTGCTTCGAATGTTAAGAGATTTAAAAATCAGAAATATTGTCTGAATCAAAAATTGTGGTCATAAAAAGGGAAAAGTTAGTTTTTCAAATTATTTTTTCTCTATTTCTAGAAATGAATTTAAAAGACCACGTGCAGTATGGCAAGTGATTTTGGACAGTCATATCTTTCACTATGAGTACTTTCTGGGCATTAATACAGTGGTTTTTATGGGCATTAATACAGTGGTTTTTATAAAAACAACATGTTTTCTTTCAATTGAAGTACCCATGATGATAAAAATATCAGTCGAACAATTCGAGAAATTATGAATAGGGACCCCATGTCAACATTTTGTTCAAAACATTGAACCTACATTATTTACTCAAAAGAGGATCAGATCTCATTTTCTGATTTTTATTGCATAAAAAGATTATTCAACAAGGGGTCTAAAACATCTTCAAATATATAATGGTATTGAAAGTCTAGTTTTGAAGATATCAATTTTCGATGACCAAAATGATGCTGATAACAATGAATGGCACGAGTTTTCCCTATGGGAAAATATCATGGGATATGTGGTTTTTAACGTTAACGCATATTAATACGCATCACCTTTTCAGAAATTGTTAATATGGTGTAGAAGAATCTTTCGATATGTTTATATTGAGAAAAACAAGATCCCTTTTTTAAAAAATAAGCCTAGTCTTTTTTTAAAAGTGCCAAGGTGGGGCCCTAATCCATGATTTCTCAGAGAGTTGGATTCATATTTTACTATCATGGGGACTTCAATGAAAAGAAAACATATTGTTTTTATAAAAAACATTGTATCTATGGCCAGAAAGTACTCATGGTGAAAGATATGACTGCCTAAAATAACTTACCTTACTGCACATGAACCTTTTCACAGCTCCTATCATTTAAAGTAAGCGATAAAAAATACAAAATATTGCTTCTGGGACAAGATCAAACGACCTTTACATATTCATTACCCTACCTATTTTGTAATTTAACAATCAACACAAGTATACATACCATATTTCAGCAGGTATCGAAAAATCATAAAAATATTTTTGATTGATGAAATCATGGATCATAAATCCGGAAGTGTATTCTCTGAGGTGTGTGGAATGTTTTAATTATTACAAATTTTGCCGTGGACTCGATTTTAAATAATTCTTAATGATCATCAAATGCTTGCTATGATTTCTATTTGTAATGTTTTGACTTCCCCGCTTATAAAAATTTACTTCCGGTCTATCGTAATAAAGATGAGCTGAACGTTGTCGTGAACACATTTCAATACTCAGTCTAAATATGGCTTTTCAAGGTTCAGTAGACTCCTTTGAATGGATCTACATGCATAGTTCGAAAATAGAATCATCAGAGAAGGTTTTAAAATGTGAAATCAACTCTAAGGCCTGAAAAAATTTAACCATTTTGTCGGCTGTATGTAACACTATGCCTTTAAGGTAACGGTTAAGTAAATCAAAGGTACAAAAAATGGCAGCCATATTTTTGTGATAAATACGCATGTTTTTAAAATCTGTTTTCCTTGTTTATAAATGTATATCTTGACTTAAGAGACATGCCAAAGTGAACACATTTCAATACTCAGTCTAAATATGGCTTTTCAAGGTTCAGTAGACTCCTTTGAATGGATCTACATGCATAGTTCGAAAATAGAATCATCAGAGAAGGTTTTAAAACATGAAATCAACTCTAAGGCCTCATATTTTAAAACTATGTGTCTTTATCAATAAATATGGCTGTCATTTTTGTACTTTTGATTAACTTAACCGTTACCTTAAGGTACCGGGATAGTTATCAGAAATTTACATCAAACAGGAAATGAAAAAATGAGGATTTTAGAATTTTTGAACTAGGATAACAGTTTTACCTTCAATCACTTTTACCGCTCTCATATACCATTTACATGGCCAGGATCACAATGGTCATGGTCAAAATGACCCTTACCATGCTAAAATATTTTTTCAGCCCTCTGAAATTGTGACTGAAAAAAGTTAAAAGTTAGCATTTCCGAAAGGTTACTGAACAGAATATTTTGAATTTTCAGAAAATGTGCCCAATATATTGCTTTAAATGATAGGAGCTTTAAAAATTAGAAAAATTGTCTGAAACAAAAATTGTTTTCATAAAAAGGAAAAATAGCTTTTCAAATAAGTTTTTTCATTTTTCTCTATTTTTAGATATGAATTCAGTTTTTCAAAGCTCCTATCATCTAGAGCAATATGTTTGGCACATTTTCTGAAAATAATCAAAATATTTTGTTTCTCCAGGAAATTCTGATATTCTACACTTTCTAATTTTTTCCGAATTTTCTTTCAAAGTTTTCAGACAACACAGGAGGTACCATTGACCCGTTTCCAGGTTTACTAAAAGTAGACAATGTAATGATATTTTCCTGAAAAAGCAAGGAAAAATACACATGCCTCCATACTTAATTTTGTACCAGAAAATAGCATGTGCAGGTATAGCAATTTTTACCAAAACGTTACTTTTCAGCTAGACCTTAAAGTGAACGGGAATTATTTGTCTACCGCTTGGGAGAGTTTGAGACATGAAACAGAATTTAGCTCATTGTGACATCTTTTGATGGTTGAGGTTTATTAATGTCTCCAACTTTATAGCAATTTTTTCCAAAATGTTATTTTCCAGCTGTACCTTAATTTTATTTCATTCATCTTGTGAATATAGAAAAATAATTCACATTACCTGTAGCCTTTTTGTATGTTATTGCAGACACTATCAACTGGACCTCTAATACACATCGACCTCCCAAGGAAACTTTGTCCCTTCAGAGATTAAATAGAGAATTAAAATACAATGTTCGAGTGTTCAAATTCAGGGTTGAATAGTTTTATATGCCTAATATAGCTGGATCAATGTTGTAATTGCGGTCAAGTCGTGGAAGGCTTCACATGACTTTTAATAAAGGTTATGTATCGAGTAAATTCGAGCTGCGCAACGAACTGTGGCGTTATTTGTTGAAATAACAGCGGAGGTATCGAAAACGACTGAGCTGCCAACAAAATCACCGGTGATCCACTCGATTACGCTGGAACCGTTTCGGTAACAAAATGTCGGAACGCCGAAGGTACGATATTTCTTGCATTGCACACATTGTAGGCAGAATTCCCACGACATTTTTATCACAAACGCGTATCAGTATCGTATAATTAAGAAAATGTCCACATTTACGAACAAAACGTTCAGAAGACAACGGAATCATCGATTTAATCCCTCACTATAGATACCGTTTATGTAACTTAAGTGAGGAATTACATCAACGATTCTGTTGTCTTCTGACCCATTTTTTCGCAAACATATACCTTTTCTAAAACATATGATACACGCTTGTGAGAAAAAATGTCGTGGGGATTCTGCCTTCAACGAGCGAAATAAGCAAAAAAGAAAAATCGTACCATCGACATTCCGACATTTTGTTACCGAAACCAGCGTAATCGAGCGGATCACCAATGAAAATACTAAGTTCGATGTGTATCTGAAAAAACAGATAAAGTCTAAAGATGTATAGTCTGTGTTAAGTAAGGGTGATTAAATGTAAGCGGTGTTTTCATCGTTTCAGAAAGATGTAGTCTAGTCTTGATCTGGCGATCCAGGAGAGCCCAAAATTGAGGATTTTTGAGATGTTTCATCCAAGTTCACATTTCATCTAATTTGGGTCATAAAACGTGTGTAACTGTGTCTGTTCTAATGTCTACTGTTAAATACAATGCCTATTATGTAATGTATTGTATCACATTTAACTACAGTAATAATTCTCCCCATCTGACCTGCTCAGATCACAGAATATGTCTTATGATATCAGAGCATGTTTCAGGTGCCACAGAAATTTGTTATGAGCAGATGAGTATCAGAATGAGTTTCTAGATATTTTTATTTGTAAATGTCTGGAACAACATCCTAGACAGTGAACTATACTTTGATAATTGTTTAAGCAGATTGATGGTATAATTCATAATTTACAAATTAAGCTTCATTACATTTAAGCCATGGGGTTAATGAATTGTCCACAATTTTAGGAAATAGATCAAACCTTCACTCAAAAAAGAAAGAATAATTCAGAATAATTTTCAATGCAGATTTATTTAATAGTTAAGGTCCACACTTGGTATACGCAGCTGACGAAATGGACCGGTACGGGTCAAAAGCTGGACCGGTTCGGGTTAACGGTTTTATTTGAATTGAGAAGACCAAAAATAGCATTTAGAGATTTTTGTTCCGTTTAAAAATCTGTAAAAATTTGGGGTACTTAAAATCATTCGGAGGGATCATATATTCCAAATTAGACACGAAGAAGTCAATATTGAGCAAGTTATGGCTGTTTTAAATTCAAATAAAACCGTTAACCCGAACCGGTCCAACTTTTGACCCGTACTGGTCCATTTCGCCAGCTGCGTATACCAAGGTTGAGGTCTAAGATTTGGACTGAATGATGATTTTATTTTACAGGCTACCATACATGTGTCTTAAATGCCCAGTTTTAAATATGAAGTCATCTCGAATTATGAATAAAATATAATTTAAGATTTGGTCAATTTTTATAGAATTTCTAAGTTTTAAATATAAAGTCATCTCGAATTATGAATAAAATATAATTTAATTTGATTTGTTGAATCTTGAGAACGAAGCTTTGCAACTTAGGTTTCAAAGGCAATTTTCCATGAAACATCCTTGTAAGAGAAAGGGAAGGGGAGTGAAGCAGGACATTTGTTCTTTCTTATCACAAATAATAAATGAAGACACTCTAGAAAATAAGATAAGCATATACCGGAGAAGATA